ATTTGGGTTTTTTGGGGGGGGGGCCCAAGGGGGGGGGTTCCAAAATTTGGGGGGTTTTTGGGAAGGGGGGGGGGGGGGGGGACCCTGTTTACCAGGGGGGCCCCTCCAAAGGGAAACCCGGAAAAGGAAAAAGGGGTTTTGGGGAAAAAGGGGGGGAAAGGGGGTTTTTTCCCCCTTTGGGAAGGGCCCAGCCGGGGCCCCTGAAAACAAAAGTTTCCGGGGGGGTAAAAGGGGGGGGCCCCCAAAAAGGAAAACGGGGGGGGCCCCATACCCGGAAAAAATTCCCCCCCCTTTTTTTTTTTTTTTTTTCCCGAGGTGGTTTTTTGTTTTTTTTTTTTTTTTTAAAAAAAAAGGAACCAAAGGTTTCCCTCTCCCCCGAAACCCCCCCTTGGGCCAAGTTAAAATTTTTTGGGGGTTTTAATTTTTTTAGGGTTTTTCCCCCCGGGAAAGGGCCAGGGTTTTCCCCTTCCCTTTTTTTTTCCCCCCCCCCCAGGGGGGGCCCCCCCCCCCCCCCCCCCCCCCGTCTCTCTTCCCGATGCGCCGTCTGCACCACCACCCCCCATCTCAGGATGTTCGGTGGCCTCATGGCCCACCTCGGCCGAGCGCGACAGCAGCTAGACCACGACAAGGTATGCCGCGTTGCAGCGCCACTCCACACAACGGAAGGGAAAATCACGACTCTTGATAAACATGCGGTATGTAGCGCCGTCGTTGCTATTTACTGCTGTTGCCAGTATCGCGCATTTCCTCCCTGCTCCCACCTCTCTTCTCCTTTTTGACATATTTTTTTCGTGCGTATTTTCCGATGGCGTACCCGGCGTTACCGTTGGTTTTCAAATCTGTCTGGATTTGGGCGCGCGCGCGTTGGGGGGGGGGTGGGGGGCGCGCCGTGGCATGACAACGGTCGAACGTGCACAGTCCATTATCCAGCGGCAGAAGAGCGTGGTCGAGATGGCGGCGATCAGGCAGGCGCAAGAGAAGAGGCAACGCCGACAGATGGCTGAAACTGCGGCTCGTGAGGTGAGAGACCGGACGGGACAGGATGGGATGGAATGGAAACATAATGGGATGGGGTGGGAAAGGATGGGATGGAACGGGATAGGATGGGATGGAACGAGGCGTCTCGGTGTTATTTTATCGCAAGTATCGGGACACGTCCCGCCCCGGAGGAATGTTCACCACTTTCCTTTTACAGTATTCAATATCTAATAGTAGCTCCTCTCCTTCGTGCGTGAGAGCGTGGACGTGTGCAGATGGCAATTGGAATGGACCCCACCACGCGAAGAGCATCGCGTTCGTGTCAACGCGGTTGGTGTATCCCCCCGCTGCTGTGTGGCCCCGCTGTGACGCGAATTTGAAGTTTCACGTCGAGTATCACCTAGCTCGTCTTGTTTTTTCCCGCCCTCTTGTTGTGGCGGCCCATTCCACCCCTCACGGGGTCCCGATGCGAAGAAGAGGAGTTCCTAGGCATTGAATAGAGGGAAAGTGGTGGGACATTCCCCTGGGGCGGGACGTGTCCCGATATTTGCGATACTAGATCACAAGTTCCCAACAAAACAGCTTCAGAGGCACCTGGATCAAGAGATGTTATCCTGTACATGTTCTTGATGCTCGGAGAAACATTGTTGGCCAACATCCTGTACATGTTGTTTTTATACTGGGAGAAGTATTCCTGGCATCTGTTGTGCTTCTAAGCTTACTCCTCCTCCGATGTGCGTGTGTTGTGTGTGTGTGTGTGTTTTTTTTTTTTTACGTCGAATCGGCAGGAGCGCGACGAGGAGCTGCACAAGCGCGACTACATCCGCGCAAGGCAGCAGAAGACCTTGGTTGCTCTTCACGGAAACGGTTTCATCGCCAACCAGGAGCAGCTCAAGGGGTTCATCTTCACAAAGGTATGCCTCACGACAACGCGAGCAACATCGTATACGGAAGCGTGCCGAGACTAAACGTGTTTCGGCTTGAGGCAACCCGGCATCACGTTGACGGGGATAGTCCGCAGGTCCCATGACGTACCTGGACCTATTTTCAAAGCTCGATTACTCCACGCCGAAGACGATGCCACAGCCAAAATTGTGCGCATTTTCGGGAAGCTCTCGACGAGAAATAGTCGTCTGCAGCGTCACCATTTTCGGCACCGTCGCTCTTTCTGCTGACGAGAAAACGACCTTCGAGAATCGGTACAGGGTGTGTGGTTATCTCGTGTCACCTACGGTACCTATATAGTGCCAAATGACTGGCCGTTGCCGCGTAGATCTCCGCGTGTGCGGGCCGAGCATTCCTCCCCGTGTTTCAACCCACAGACGCTGTTATGCGCACGTCCCTGGTCTGCTGCGCATCCTCTTCCCGCCGTGCCCGCCGTTTCCCCTATGTCGGCTTTCTTTTCTTTTCGCAGACCCTGCCCAAGCTAGCTTGGTCACCCAACGAGCATACCGACGTTACCCAGGTGTGCCTCATGGCGACTGGTAGCTGTTTTTGGAGCTGGTGCCCCCGTCCTCCCCCCACCCGGTCACGCGATGTTTTTGGCTGCTGTTTTGCTTGGCTGTCCTGCTTGTGCGGCTGGTGTAGACGGACAACCTGGGCCTTGCCATTCTCTCTCTCTCTCTGTGTGTGGTTGATTGTTCGCGGGGAGCGTAACTTTACTCGTGGTAGTAGCACCGAAGCGATTGAGCCATTCAAAACGGCCGATTCTTTTGATATTTCAGCACTTGATGCTGTTCGGAAAACCAAACCCTGTGTTGTGAACTCCCTGTTTTTTGTTACCACCTGTCTCGAGATGGGTCCTCCACGATCCCGCCCTTTTCGGAAGCTGCGCATGCCTGGTTGCGCATTGCTGCCTCTCTTTATGGTACCTGTTTTGCCGTTTGGCGCGGGTTTTCCGATGCTGTGACGTTCTGATTGCTCGCTCCCGTTCGCTCCCTCTCTTTTGCGCAGGCTCTGCTGGCAGACTCTAGCAAAGAGATTGACGGTAACATCGAGCGGAGGAAAGAGGCCGACGACAAGGAGTTCCAGAAAATCGACGATTCGGTGAGTAGATCCCCCCCCCCCCCTCTCTGTTTGTCCGTCTGTCTCTGTCTCTGTCTCTGTCTCTGTCTCTCCGTCTCTTTCCCTCTTTGTTCTGGAAGAGTGCCGATTCTGTCATGTGTGACGGATACTTCCAAACAACAAGAAATATGTGGCGCTGACCAAGTTTAACACTTTTTTCGCGAAGGACCCGTTCTTGTATGACCGCGTTTGCCAGCCAGCTCCCCCTTCTTAACGGCAGAGAGGTCCTTCTCGACCAGCTTCTTCCTTACGCAACATGCCTACCAGCTCCCCACCCCCCGCCGCCGCTGCTTTGTGGCACACGTATCACCTGCACATAGGTTTCGATTCCACCTTTAGCCTTTCAACCGCCTTGGTTGCGGTGGACACGCATAGTGTACCTTTCTCTCGCGCCTCTTGCTTTCTTGCAGCATTTCGTGCGGACTGAAACGACCCGCCGTCGCACTCAACTCCTATTCGAAAGGTATGCGGAGGGCGCAGGGTTCAATGGCTCGACAACCCCTCCCCCCCATGCGACCAACCCCCCCCCCCATCTCTTACTCCACCGCTTTTCCTGCCGCCCCGTCAGGTTGCCGAACGAGCCGCGACGCGGGCCAGCCGGAGGATGGCACACGCTCCGGGGGGCCGGCAGATGGGGGTGCGGCAGGACAGGGACGCCAACTCCCACGGAGAAGGCAACGGGCATCGCTGGCAGATGGCGGCGGGAGAGGTGAGCTTTTGCGCGGTCGGACTGAAAAGTGTTCTAATAGGAACTATGTAAATGCCACCGTGTGTCTTTTAGTCGTGTTTTTTTTTTTCTTCTTCTTTCCAGGAGTGATATCATACATGAGTGCACTCTTGAGGTTGGCGAGGAGGAGCAGTTTCGTGCTTCGCATATGCTTTTTTGACGACGAAGACAAGCGACATAAGAACGACGGTCGTTCTTGAAAGGGGCTTGTTTGTGTGTGGCCTCTAGCCAGAGTTCGTTGAGTACAGACTGATCAGGATGTAACCAGGGCAGAGGGAAGCGGAGAGGTCACGAAGTCAGAGAAATGTCGCGGAGGTTTCTCGTGAGCGGAAGCTTGAAAATCGGCGGCTAGTATCAGATGGACCCGTGACCAGCAGATTGAGATAGCAGAGCGCAATGAGGGGGGTAATATGCAAACCCTGCCCTGCTATTTCGTCTGAACACCTACACCTATAATGATGATGACAATGATGGACCTGCGAGGTACGGAACCGGCGCCGCTTTTTCCGTGCTCGGGGACAGGATGATCTCCAATCCCTTGACAATGAATCTTGTCTTGCCATCATCTCCCAGTATTTTAGTGTCTTTCTTGGTGTGTGCCACCGTACTGGCGTTCGGCGATTCTCTCTCCCCCCTTCCGTCTCGCGAGCGCCATCCCCTTCCACGATTTGTGCCGATCTGTTCTCCGCACGCACCCTTAACCCTCCAGAGTGACACGAACGGGGAGGGTCCCGGCCAAGCCCGCACGGTCGCTCAGGATGATGGCGACGGCAATGCTGGTGCGACAGGGGACACTGGCGGCGCCTCGTCCAGGAGCCAAGACGTGGTCGATGATGCAGATCAGCCTGGGGCGGCGGTGTCGGAAGCGGACGGCGCCGAGGGCCGGGAAATGGCTGGCGGTGCCGGGGACGGGATGGAAGTGGACGGCGATGATGTCGGCGTCGCCACCGGCTATGCCGAGGCTGACGATGCAGGGGGACAGGAGGGAGCGGAGACATCTCCGCGCAGGAGCCTCGCCCCTGCCGCCGCAGCAGGCGGTGATTTGTCCACTGGGGAGGAGGAGAACAACGGTGGTGGTAGAGGCGGCGGCGACGCCGAGAAGGCGGGCGGCGGCGGCGGTGGTGGTGGTGATGGCGGCGACGGGGTGGATGGCAGGACAGAAGCGATTGCCGAGGCGATTGGCGAGGAGGAGGTGTCCCGGGCGGGAGGGGGCGGGGATACCGATGCCGAAGAAGGAACGAAGAAGAAGAAAAAGAGCAGCAAGAAGGACAGGGGAAGCGGCAGCGGCAGCGGGCGCAAGAAGTCTTCCCGGCGCAGCAGCGACAAGTAACCCGAGAAGGGCGGGCGTGTTGCGGTCGTGGGCGAGCGTCGGACGGGGTGTCCTGGACAAGTCCGTCTGACTAAACCCCATGATTTTCTCGTGTGTGTTTGTGTATCGATCGCGCTAACCGGCAGGCGTAAGAAACGACGTCGGTCTTGCAATAGCGGGATGTTTGTGTTCACTTGGCGTGTGTAGATTTAGTTGTTTTTTTATGCTGGAGTGAGGGAACCGGAAGAAAGGAGGCGGCGCGCGCGGTTCGTGCTCCAGAGAGATGGAGGAACAGAGTGCTGTGACAGGATTGGCGGCGGTACGTATCACGGGTAGATGAGCGGGGGCGGACGCGGATGCTGAGCAGCAGTCCGGACAACGCAGCGATTCCATTTTTCTCTACAACGGGTTGGGTTGGGTTGTGCCCCCGTTTTCGTTTTCGGGGGACACGCACCTGGCAAGAAGTATTTCGGTGCGCTCGACAGCAGCCTCTTTCCGAATAGAAAGGATTCCGCTGCTTGGTGTGCTGCATTCGCCATTATGTACGGCAGCCCCGTTCCCCGTGTCCAATGAGTCCAGGACGGATGCCTGAGAAGTTGAAGTTGGAAGGTCGCGGTGTGCGGTGGCGTGTTTGTCGGGTGTCGATGTGCCTCGTTTCTTCGATCGTAAGAAGGATGTGATCTCCCGTTTTCTTGTTCCCGGGATCGAAGCCCTTGTGGGTCGACAGGCTACACCGCAGGGTGCAATGGAAACATGGAAACTCCTGCGCGCGAGCGACGGAACATGGCGGAATAGCACACCAGGATAACGTAGGTGGAGGCGGAGTTAGCTATAATTGCTGTTTCGGCTTATCAGGTCTTCGGTACATCCCAAGGCGTGCTACCGTAGTAGTTTCCGTGCCGAGCGACGACAAGAGCTCCTTTCGCCTTTTGCATTGCACAGCGCTGGTTCCTGGGCGATACGCATCCCGTCGTGTGGGTGCTGTCATTGCGGCATGTAAGAGCTTGCGTCGCGGTTTTAAGGTTTGAGGTGATCCTGCAGTTAAGCGGGAAAGTGATCTTGAAACCCATACTCCGCGAGTAGAGTCGCAGGTTGGGTTTGAGCTGAGAACTGATCCTCCAGTTCTGCGGGAAAGTCACCTTTAAACGATAAGCCGCGAGTAGGGAAACCTCCTGGTTTTCCCTTCCCACGACTGCGATGACTTGTGTTTGCGAGGCAGGCAATGTTATCGGGCTTCCGTTGGGGTCAGGGACATGCAAAAAAATCCGGATCTACCCACAAGAAGAAAAAGATGAGAGCCAGCGATTGCCTTCCTTCCGCTGCCTGACCCCTGCCGGTGGGTCAAAAACACATTGACATGTGTCGGACTAGAATGGCACCCACAGATACACGGGACGACGCCACACACATCATACAGTCGGCCGCGCGTGATGCTTACAAAAGCGACCAGATGCAAGACCGCGTCAAGGATTGCGTATATCGGTGGGTTTCGGCGCCGCCTGCTGTTGGTGTTTGATCGAGTGCCGCAGGACGACATCGACGGCCGTAGTCGACAGAACGGCAAAGCATCAAGAGTAGACGACAGAAAATTACGTGTTTCAACGTTTATTTCGCAAAGGATAAAACAAACGACGTTACCATAAGTGGGAGGAATTCATCGTACACGGCGTCGGGGAAACGGCAGACCTGACGAGCGGAACGCCATCACCAGGGACATCAGCGCACGTGCTTCTTGTCGATGGGCTTTCGCGCGGACTGCTGATCATACGCCCCCGGGTAAGCCCAAAACAGAGCCATTCACGCCTGCCCCTTCGATGGGCTGCAATTATTCTTAGCAAAAGAGCTGAAATTATTTTTGCTACCCGCATCTCCTCCGTTGTCACGATGGGCGAAAAAAGACAACCCTGAGCAATAATAATCCGCGGTCCAACATAAAAACTCAACAAAGGACGCGCGGAAAAAATCGGCCACGGGAGAGAAAATTCCCAATCCCTCTGCGGACAACACGTTGTCATGCCCCAGGAAAACTTGGTGTCAACACAGTGGCCAGACAGAAACAAGTCTTGCACGTCTTGGCGACCACCGTCGCTGCTTCGCAGACAAGCAATCGGCGTTGGCTGCTACCACATGCTCCCAAGGTTCCGCCACCTCCACTATCTTCTCCATCCTATCGCCTTGCCGCTGATGCCCATGCAAGCCAGCAAAGACAGATACATAACCTTCCAGCAACGCTTGATTGACCATGCGTGGCACTCTACGCAGCATAGACTGCAAAAACCAAGGGAAGCTGGTTGCTTCCGAGTAGCTTGGCCCCCCGCTCCACTTATCAGGTAAGACTGATGCAAAACGAAGAAAAATAATGGTGTCGCCTACCACTGGACGCTGAATCAAGAACGGTCTGAACGACCGGGGACATTCTGGTGACTCTCCCGGGTTTGACTCATTTCTCTAACAAATATAGTTGTCCCGCGAGAACCCCCCCCCTTCATGGCTTCCATTGGCCGCCAGCTTGTCCACCGCCATAAAACACCCTGGTTCCGAAACAAATACATGTGTCTTCACTTCCGCTGCCCCGTGAGCCGTCCGAATGAGCTCTGACCGGCCAACATCAATCCCCCCATCAAACCCAGACTGGCTCCCACTACTGCGTTCGGTCCGCGAACCCCTTTGACTGTTGTTTTCATGAGATCGCAAAATCGGGCAACGTCAAGGAGAAGGAGAGCGGGGGAGGGTTGGTATGACGACAAACGCTCATTCAGATGGGACATCAAATGAACCCGCACAGGCGTTTGTACGCGGAAAGCCAGACGAGAGGATGAGGGGGGGCACCGTGGCAACAGGGGGGTGGTGGTACGCTAGGCCTCTCGCCAGAAACGCGTATCGCGCAAACATGATCTTGTTCAATCGTGTCTCCGATTGGTACATGAACGGTGCATGTTTTTTCATGTGCAGAACATACCCAAGATTATGTTTCCAAAGTACGAAATCTGGCATTGTTTCTTGTTGTTGGCGAGACTATCTCGGGCGAAAACGTTTCGGCAATGAGAAATCAGCGAACCTCACCTCCCTTGAAGCACCATGCTGCCGAGCCCGCCGTAGCCACCACTACAGTCGCAACATCCGTCGCATTCAAGTTGCCGAACACCGTCCCCATGCCCGGCGCCGGGTCTGTGACCGGAAACTTAGGGTCCTCGAAGGCCATCTCTTCTCGCTGTCCCACTCTGATTTGGGGGATGCGGCTCTCTCCTGCGAAACCAAGGCACACAGGGAGATACATACACGACAAATGTCCACAGTAGAGTGAGATCTAGGAGTACGTACACAGGAGGGGCGCTCAAATGAGCAGCATGCATGTGTATATGTATATGCGGCGCTCCCTGCCGTACTTTGGTACCGGGGGGTGCACAGCTGGATTGATGATGCAATCGAGCCTTATGTGGCGTGCACCTGCGCAACCCTGTCAGTACGTGTCCAACCCCTTGGCAGGCGCAGGTATTGGAATGCAGTAGGGGCATAAGGTGGAGTCGCAGAGGATGCGGTCTACTCACTGCTTCCATGGTTCCTGCTGCCAAACTGCTGTGCACGAAGCGTACATTAGGAATGGCTCATGCCACCACTGGGTTTCACGAGGTGACATATCCCGTTGCGCCCGGCGCTCGGACTAGGGTTGAGAATGAGCTTGCTTCGATTCGAATTTTGACCATGGTGTGCCCTCTCTTCTGGAAATGAGGGCTACATCATCACATCGCCCAGGGCCTTGTCTCCCATTTCCGACGTTGTCAGGATGCGGCGGAATAACACCTGAGCACCTCCACCGGGCATGGTCGCACATAGCAGATGTTGTACGCAGCAACCAACGCTTCTGCTATCTACACATGTGCCCGTTTTGTAAACGAAGGTTCGGCAAGATACCAACAACCCCGAGAGATACCGGGCGCCTCGAAAGCTGTATACCAGGTACGTAGTACTGCTATCTCCCTGCAACTACGGGAGGTGGTGTTACGCACGGGCTCCGAGGAGAAGACCTCATGCTCCGAGGCTGCTAGACAAAGCACAACATAGTGATCAGCATGCCTATCGGCTTTGCAGAATGTGCCACTTCAGGTCAACTCGGTTGGTTCCTGCTGTTGCCGGGGCTGCGGCGGCGGTGGCAGCTGTGTGTTTGTCGTGCACACAACTCGTTTCTTGAAACTGAGGGGGCAATGCACGAGGCAAATGTGACACAGGGCCTCTGAGCTTTGGAGGATAGCTATTCACACAGCGACAGCAAAACACATCCTCGCACATGCTTCTTTCCGGACTGACCTTCCAGTGATGAAGGAGCTCGTTCGCGAGTTACGCCACAAAGCTAGCTGTGTGCTTGGCTTGGTGTGTTACGGCAAGCAAAGCACGCCGGCGCCGGCGGGGGCACCGCAGATGAGACTGTTGTATGCATCTGTGTACGGGGGCACGGAAGTTTCTTATATAAGTTCCTCTTCGTCGCTTCGTCGGTGCATGTCACATTTTCGGTCGGTTTCAAAGTTTTCAGAGTTTCCGCGCGTCGCACGCGCGTGTGCGTGTCTTTATTATTAGCATCGACCGCGTTAACCGGCTGTGCGTGTGCGTCGTAATGCTGGTCGTGCAGCACATGCGTTTCATTTTGGAAGAATACGGTAACAGTCAGAATATGCATAGTAACGACGACGACGACGGTAATTATCCCCGGTACATATAGCGAACGATCCGCATGGCGTGCATGTAGACTTACGACCCGGCCTCTCACACATGTACGCATGCTACATGCAAGGTGTAAGAATGGTGTTAGTCTGCGGCATCCCGCAGGGGAAGGAGGAGACTCAAAACGGTCCATATAATACATCGGCCCACCTGTTGAGATCGCGGACTCTAGTGTAGACAGAGAGTGCGATTTCACAAGCGCGCGTGCACAGCCGTTCGTTGACGTCAAGATAGACGAGGAAAAAGAGGAAAAGAGGGATAACAGAGGAGAAGAGAGAAGGGGCGCAGCCGCCGGAATTGGCGCATAGGCTATTGTCTGACACCTGGTGATGATGCAGGGATGCATGGTGTCTCTCTTCCGCTTTCTACGGCTATAGTCCTGCTTGAAGTGGTGCTCATTGGACGCCTGCAAGCAGGAGGTTTGCCCATGGCAGCTGCTGATGGTTCATCATCCTCGTGGGGAAACTATGGGGACCAGGCTGGTGCAGTGCCAGAGAGGAGTCTCCAAGAAGAGCACCAAAAGCAACCGATAGGGATTGTGATCATGGCGCAGGGAAGATCTGGCTCAATTGACAACCATGTTAGGAGAGACTTTCCGGCAAAACAAGGTCAGGCGCAGAGAACTGCTTTCGCGTTGGCTGATGTGTGATGCAGTACATGTTGTTGCTGTTCTCGACCACCGCCAGCACCACTGCCATGTAGACCTACAGTAGGTGTCCTTCATGTGTTTATTCACGAAAAGCATACCAAAGAAGCGAACGAGTCAACACGCGACATGCTTCAGAGTTCTTGGAATATTAATATTTCGAAACATCCAATCTACTTCAAGTAGAAATTTATATGCATCATGAGAACTGAAGTCGGCCCTGAACCCATCCATATCATTAATGGCGGCTTTTAACGACAGAGAGCGGAGATAAGAGCTGAGCAAAAGAAGAGATCCTCAAGCGATGGCGTGTTCTGTAACGGTTGAAGCATCGCGATGTAGGGTAGAGGTCAGCTGTCGTCATGTTGTATTGTAGCGGCCTCCTCGTGCGTGTACCGGACGCGTCACATATGTATTTAGTACCTCAAGTTAACAGAAGGTTCGATGATCACGAAATCGAAGACGTTGAACCCTACCCGACCTACTGCACCTGTCGGGTTTCCCACTGATCGAATAAAGATAGAGGATGGTGCGTTCTATTTGCTGATATATACGCAGGAACAACACTCTCTCTTGGGGAACCCTCACTGCCGGGGAGGCGCTACTACGCAGGTGTAACCAAGCACCTCAAGTAACGTACAGTACTACCTGCAATATATACCCTTTTGACCGCTCCAAGCACATAGACAAACGCGCGCCAAGGATTTTGTTCGAGATCCTTGCCACACGCTGAGTTCCACACCTTGGCGAAATGGTGAAATCCCTAAGTTGCGCTGCCTAACATATCGTCCTTACCACCATCTTTTTTTATACCGTGGGCCTACAAACGCAATGGTTCGGGCGGGGTGCTCTCCACACCTTTCAGGATGTGCTATACTGGTGAGAGCTTTGTTTATGGGTCACAACACGCCGCTTTTCCTTCAATCTTTGTTAATAGGTGGATAATTGTCTTCTTGAAGTTCTCGTACGGATAAAATGTACTTCGCTCCTCATTAGACGACATCGTAAGCGTCGGAAGACATCAGCTGCACCGCGGCATCCTGCCACAGTAGTCTATTCTGTTCGACAAAGTACGTTAACGGGGGTTACTTGAGGCTGCGTTGGGCCTGAACGCCAAGTTAATCTATCACATCTTCTCTACGATCTAGCTCGCCGTGGATCGATCGTGCTCTTAGGAGCTCAAACTCGTTAATCCTGTCCCCTATCGATTGGGGGTTATTAGGTATGAACCTTGCCGGAGCTGGGGGGAGGGGATTTTCGGCAGCTCGAGCCAGTACCACAAGGAAATCCACGGAGACGAATGTACGGCGCTCGTTCGAAGGTACGTTGGGAGGGATACCTCGTTCACGCCGAGTGGCCCGTCCGGATTATGCACCTTCGGACAGCTTTATACCGAAGTACGGCGGAAGGTGTCGGGGAAGACACCTCTGCCAGCCGTCTCGGTCACAGAAGCTGGTAGTGCGCTACTTTCATGGAGGACAACGCTCGACAGAAACAAAATCCCCCCGCATGTGCCACCACACAGGTTCCCTTGGAAACACCATGTTCACACAGGATCGTTTGCCAACCGAAACAACTATTTCCAACCTTGGTGTGTTGGGGGGGAGTTACTGTAGTTCGTCCTTTCGTGGTTGCATCATCATCTGGCAAAAAAAACTATGCGAAGTTGTTTGTTCTCGGTTTCGCCAGGATAGCGCAGTGCGAGTTCACTCTGGAAGACGCCGCGCGACTGGGAGCCGACCCTTCTGCGTTGGAGAACGGATCGCCGGGCCTCTTCCCGCTTCGTGCAGCCTCCGACAACCCTAGCGCGGACGCCCTTGCTCGAGCACATGAAGCGGTACTCGGCACGTGTAACCAGAGCAGGTGCGCTTGTAGAGGCCTCGCCGTGCAGACTTCGCCATGAGAAACGTTTCCGCTCACGCATCGTCTTTTCAACAACGTCGATGACTCAAACTCTTATAGTGAGAGGGCACGTGGTATTGGATGGGTGCTTGGGAGTGGTCAGAACGTTTAAACATGACGCACGTACACCCCTGCTTGTTTTGTTGACATTTCGTGTGCCTGGTATTGTCGAGGCTCCTCGGACAAAGTGAAATCCGCCGAGGAATGTCTCCGGTCGTCCCCGTCTAAGCGACGAAACTAGTTGTTGCTGTTCTTTGTTGTCGTGGTTGTTGATGGTGTCCATGTTGTTGTTGTTGTTGTTTGTTGTCGTGGTTGTTGATGATGATGTACTCCAAAGAGTTCTGAAAGGCAGAAAGTTGAGTTTTCGTGGTGGCGAAAATCGGACCCAGAACAAGGTGAAAGGCCCACCGGGAACCCCAACATATCGTGAAGGCTTCCTTCTAGAACATCAAGCGTAGAAGGGCATCAAGTAGGGTAGGAAATGGGAACCCCTCAAAAGGAAAAAATGGTTAATTGGTTTATTCACAAGCTTGGTGGTAAACGAAACATACCACGGTGCAACTATGGCTGGGCCACAACAAGTCCCCTAAACTCGAAGGGGCTGTCCTCGAACTCCTAAGGAGCCAGGGCGTCTTCGTCGCGAGGTCTTGCATCCGCCGACCAGGGCAAACCCCGCCCCACCCCCTGGGGGGGTGAGGAGGGATGGACGCACCGAAATAAGTCAAGGCTGGCCAAACCTACCCGAGGACATCATGCACGCAAGGCGGTAGACAAGAGCTGCACGCGTATCCACTATTCCGGGGAGCTAGCTCTCGGCATGGCTTTCGCCATCAGGAAAATCAGTCCCTCGCGCTACTACGGCAGGCAGGCAGACCAAGCTACCTGATAGGATACAAGGCGGAAGCAAACAAAGTTGGCTCGAGACCACAGATCAGATCAAATCCTTTCGGTCGGGGGCAGGACACACCACAGTCCCAGACGGAGGAGTATCAAAACATCGCAAATCGGTTGAAAAGCGAATAAAGAACAAACCAAACGAAGCAAAGCTTTTTTTCAACTCCTAGAGTTCCATTTTACGGTTGTCTTCTCTCTCTCCCCACCCCGTCCCTCCACGGCTCCTTCAATCAAGTTCACGGCCACTCTTTTTTGCCACCTAGATCGCCGTGCGTGGTCTCCAACATACATGTCGGCCTTCGTGCCACGATCCCATGCATCTCTTCCGCCCGCAAACAGAAACCTTGTGTGTACCTACAAGCACACCCTCCTCCCTTGCGCGGGGCAGCTGTCGTCCAAGAATAGTGTGTCAACCCCGAACATCTGTCGGGCGCCCTGGTGCAGAGCCGTAGACAGCATTGCCTGTCTTGGGGGTCTTACATCTAAGCGATTTTCTGTGCCGATAGTCCGGGCCCTTTCACCCTCAGGCTTTCCGAACGGCACCAGCTTCGGAAGTCGCTCGGTCTCCTTGTCTGGCCACGCCCCCCCCCCGCGAGGAGAGACCGCTGGCTCGGAGTCGTGTTCCACGCATTGAGATGTGGGCGACCAACCAACACGTAGGCTGTTGCAACGTTAACACCCAGCATCGGGCGTGGCAGCTATTTTACGCTCCCCACAGGTTCAAGAGCAAAATGAAACGACGCCGGTGTTCAGTCTGCTGCTGTTTTTCGAATATGCAGGGCCGTGGTCGTTAAGACGATACGGGCCGACGCAGGGGTGGGCGTCGAAGACGGGTATGCTGATGGCACCCGCGTGATCCACCTTGTGCGAGATCCCCGGGCGGTGGTCCACTCCCAGGTCAAGACCTTCAACGTCGCGCACAAGTACCGCCGGTACTTTCACAGCCCGTCGCCCCCCGCAGAGACGGCCAAGGGTACCGCCGAAGCGACGCCTGGGGTGGAGGCCAATGTGACTCAGGTGTGAGATGCTGAACAGGTTAAGGTAGGAGTTTTTTCTCAAGTCTCTCCGCGTTAACGATGGCCCAGCTAGGGTTTTCCCGTCACAGGCCACCAGACTACGATAAGGCTGTCTGGGTCGCTCGTGCCACCTAGCGTACACTCTTTTCGTGCGTATCACAGACACACCAACCGCCCAACTACCTTCAGTTTTTCGGTGAGAAGGGCGTGCTGTGCGGCTCCAGGTCGAGGAATGCCCGACGAAGAAGATCGTTGGTTGCTGTAGACCGTCGCATGAAACTCTCTTGACCTCCGATTGTCTCCCAGTTCCGCAAGCATGGAGACAGCTTACTTGTTACACTGTCTTCCATCACTACTCTCAACACGACCGTCGCATTACCGCATCGGCACCAGGTGGCAACGGGTGACTCTTTGCCTTGGGGCGGACCGAAGCGCGCGCGTGCCCTTGGGAAGATGTGAGGAACGATCGATCGTATTTCCAATATTCCGATACGCTTGCCAGTCGAGACAAGATTGCCGTAGCTGTTCTTCTCCATCGAAACGCGATGCTTCGACCGGTATTCGTTGTGGGTTTGCACCGCTGCTCCGAGTTCCGTGAGGGCGCGCTTCGCGTAAAGCACCACCGGGCCTGGTTTGTGTTCATCTTCGACCATACACACCAAAAAGTGGAGCTGGAAATAGGTCATGTCGTGGACATCTCGGCAGCTAGCTGGCAAAAAGAACAAGCTAGGTACGGCAGGACACTGCTCTAGTATCCACAGCCCGTGGACCAAGCATCGCCGTTGAGACGCATAAAAGCGAGTTGGTGAGGTTTCGATCAGAGCCGCTTCCAACCCTCCCGGCCCCATTGAATCCGTACCCCCCGGCCAAACAGTTTGACCAAATATTCAGCCTGGAGGCAGGATTGCGACCCAACAGAGAACCCCCAACCCCCACACTACGCTAGAGAGTTCGTCCAGAGAAAAATTGTGTTTTCGGGGGGAAGGGGGGATGGGTGTTTAGACCGAAACACTCGAATGGACTTGTCGATCTGTCAAATTAGGCATCGTGGAAGGCCTACCTCGGCAAGGCTCGCTCGCTCATAGATGGTGGTGGAGAAGACAACTGAAGTGCGTGCAGGTACACACACTTCCTTCCACAAGCGGTGTTGTTACGTGCCGATGGTGTCGTATTTTCTGTGGCTCCTTCCAAAACATTTCCGTTCGGTACTCCCCATCTCTGATTGGTACAGATCCCTCCCCCGTATTCCATGCTTACCATGTCCTTAACCGCGCCGTCCATTGCGTTCTGCAGTCATGAGGTTGGGAATGGGCAACGCCGTGGTCGTTGCCGTGTCGCTGAGGAGAAAGCGTCGGGAAAGCAACACTTCTAGCTAGCACTCACGTCGATTTAATACACCAAAGAAGCAGACCCGCCTCCCCCCCCTACTTTGCTCCTCAAAAGCGGCAGCCTTTCCTGTTTCTCCCCCCGGACGGCTTGCACCCTCTCCTTTTCTTCAGAATTTGTGGAGTGTACAGAGACCAGCTGGATTCTTCTGCAAAGCGAGGCGGGAACAGGTAAGTCATGACACCTGGGGTCGATACCCGTGTTGCGGGTTGCCACTCCCATGGATCATACCTCGCATTACACAGACCGCAGACATGAGTCCAACAACTCTCAGGACTTTGTAGACACGCTCTGCTCGGCCTCGTGCCTCTGTGCGTGCAGCACGACGAAAACGCAAGTGCGCAAACGCAAGAATCTCACGCGCAAACCCCGCAGGAGTGGCCTCTGTTCTCAGCGACTTGTCAGAAACGGAGTCGTTTCTCCGCTTGTTGCGTTTCCAGGATCCGCGAATGCTTGCGGGTTGTTCATCGCCTGATGACAACCGGGACATTGCGCAACGCGTTCTCCTCTCTGTCTCTCTCGTTGGGCCCAGGTACTTGAGGGTGCGATACGAAGATATCGCCTCCTCTGCGGATGCGGCAGTGAAGAATGTATACCATTGGCTGGGGCTTGGACCTGTTCCGCCTAGAGTGTCGCTTTGGCTCAACGAGAATACCCTCGTTCCCGATTGCAACGACCATGGTGGGTCAACTGGTATATTCAAGAATAGTAAACTCGAGAAGTGCAACGGTAGCCATGTGTACGCTCAGACAGTTTCGTACAGCATCGAGGTCGTTCTAGATGTACACATCATGTGTTTGTCAGGGAAAGCAAGAGAGTTAAACATAACTATCTGAAATAGCACCCCTATAACAGCCTCAAACGGTTGCCTAGCATATCACTGATTGAGTCGACGACGAACAGAAGGGAAACGGAACACGGTATACTTGGGATCGTGTGTTGACGGTTCTCCCCTTGGCCGGTCAAAGCGTGACAAGTGACACCGGTAGGCTCACGGATCTGTCGTTTGTTTGTTTCCCGTAAGCCCGAGACTTCAGATTGTGTTCCCATGCTTCGGGGAGAACACCAAGCGATGGGTGATAGTGCTGCTTGTTCACCTTCAACGCAGAACGAGGAGCGAAACAATTTCAAGGGCCAGGGACTTCGGTTCGAAATTACCGATACGCTTGCACCACGAAGCGGACGACATCGAGGTTCGCCTACACTGCCACGACATCGAGGCTCACCTACACTGCCACCCCCCTGTCGCGCCGCTCCGACCAGCCCCCGATGCAAGTCCCCGCCTAGCAAGCCACCGTGCGACACCTGAAGAGGAGACCTCTAACGACAACAGGAGTGGCGGCAGCAACTTAGGCACACAAATTGCGCTTGATTACACTGCTGAGAACGGCTCCAAATCAGGTCCTGAGGATCATGACTCTGGAGAAACTGCTGGGAGTGTTCCGGAGACAAGGGTCCAGGGAAGCGTTGAAGGTTGGGATGGGAAGGGAGGCGCCAGACCCTCGCCACTCGATCTCGCGGAGGCTGAGGCGGCCGCAGCCATAGGAACGGCGGTAGGCGCAAGGAGGGTGATGGCTAAACATGACCACCGCCCTGTCCATAGCCAAGACCAAGGCCATCAGCCTAACCACGGTGACGGCTGCAGAGAAATGATGGCGAAGAAGGCCGAGTGGGACAGGTATGTATGTCGTAAACCGACCAGCTGGCCAAACAGTCGAGACTAAGGCTATCGGCTACCACTTCACCTGTGTCAAAGAATTCGCTCTTTGGTAGACTTCGGGTACACGGAGCCCTCCGGTACGAGTGCAAGCACTCTGGTAGATGGTAACCAAAGCCTCGATCCTTCAACAGCATTGTCCCAGCAATGTGAGGGAAAGAGTAGGAGAGCAAGCTCAAGTCGTACCGATTTTGACTTGACTTTTCAGGGGACCAACTGCATTCGAAGTACCGAAGCATGATCACCGCATACGGCGTCGCTTTCGCTCAAGTTTCGGAAATTCTAATCTTTTTCTCCTGATCGTCTTCTGAGGGCAAGCTGGTTGCCAAGTAAAAAATGTTGTACGTTGCAGTTGTTGTTTCGTCTTCTTTTATTAGTTTGTCTTAATTTCAAAGAACCCGGTGGCCCTCTCTCCCCTGCTTTTCGCTGCCAAACAAGAGATCCTCCATGGTCACATCCTGACCCAAAATGACGTGCATGAAACAAAACGAAGGGCCCAGAGGGAGTCACTACACCTGAGAAAAGCTAGCATTCTACTGACATATCAAATATACCAAACCAAGACCATGGGAAGCGATTCAAGTCTATTGCTCCAGGCGCCAGCGGAGTAACAAACAAATTGTTGGCACTGCAAGCCGTAATGGCACCACGAAAAATAAATTTGACGAATTCATCGGCTAGTTTCATGTCCCTACGCGGCCCACGAGTGCTCCTCATGGGGAGCTGATTCCGCCGAACGGGCCAATTCCCAGACGTGTGAGAAGGTGTGAGAAGGGTTTACGGCATATTTTACAAAGCGAAGCACAGAGAACATACTTGTAAGCGTGGCCGCACCTCCCCTAGTTCGACTTTCACGCGACCCCAAAACAAACAGGGCACTACATCCGATAACGGTGTAGTTCGAAACAATCTCGCCGAAAGCGTGCCTGAGACCTATCTGTCGGCTCCCGCGCTGTCTTGGTCGTGGAGCAATCGAGCTATGAAATTCGGTCAATGGGGGGGCACTCGCGAAGTATGTACGGTAACCGCAATGAAGAATGGACTATCAATTTACCGCCTCGGGCGCAAGAGAAAGAGCCGAAGCCTGCACACGCCCGACACAAACACCCTCCCCCTCTCGTCACATTTTCGCAAAGCATAGAAACAACGACGTGCCAATGTGGGTTGAATCGACGATTGCGGTTGGTTGTTGCCTTTCGCCACAATCTCAAGGTACGGCACGCGGAGACATGCTGCCGCAATGGTTGGGTTGTGGCGGACGCAGATGCCCGGGAGCGAGGCTTCTGCGGTGTGGGAAGCCTGCGCATCCTCAGGAGTCATGGAGGAGATGGGGTACACGCAATAGCGCTCTCCCAAGAACGTCCGTTCCAGGCGAACAGGACGAGCCAACACCGCAAAACTTCGTGCTTCGAAACATACTATCATGAACCCGAGCAAAGCTGGCAACCCTGTTGGGGCTTGCCACAGAGCTTCGGAGGGGCGAGTCTCCGGCGAATTAGAGGATCGTTGGTGGCGGCGCATCCCGTGGACACACACCCCACCTATTCCAGAGTTTGACATGTAGCAAGATGCGAAGGTAACGGAGGTGTTGCTGTGGTGTTTGGTTGCGCAGGGAATGGGATGACAGTCAGGCTGGTTAAAACAGAAGCCCAAGCGAACGAAGGTCTGTCGTTTCGGCTTTCGTTAGATTGAGGGACACGCGTGGGCAAATTGGACAATGCAAATGCGGTTTCACACGCTAAAAATACCGGTCAACGTTTATCCGTGGCTGGCCCTGAGCTATACATCAATCGAAAAAACATTTTGTTGTAGTGTGTTGGAGTGCAAAGTGCCGTCATGTTGGTGCCTGCCGATAAATCGTTCCATGACTCAAAGCTTGTGTGTAATCGTGCGTGAAGGGTAGGTTAGCCTTTGAGCTAGTTCATTGCTACCCTCATGCTGTCTACCTTACGGTGCCTGCCAAGTTGTTCATGTAAGGAACCCTACCCGGCTAATTGAACTGAAGGCTTGGGCAGTGCAATGTCTCTGATACACGCCGAACGACCCCTCTCTCTCTCTCTGTCCAGTCGCGGGGGCATGGTGGGGAGCTTTGCGAGGTACAATGTCCAAAAGTTTTTAAAAGGATACAGGAGTCGTGTTGAAGGCGCGGGCAGCACACACACCCTGGTTCAGACAGGTTGACTAACGCACCATAGTCTTGGCAAGACTAGTGATGTGAACCTCCTGATCACGGCGTGGTGCTGTTTGTTCAACTGATGGTACGAAAGTTGAGCCCGCATCGCCTTGAACTGACTCGAATCAGCCCTGAGGTTACCTCAAAGAAGAGTGGATTTGGCCATACGCAGGCCCACTTTTGATACGGCATATGTTTGCTGTCGTCCACAGCAGTGCCCCCCCCCCCCCCTCATAAGAAACGTCTACATGATTTATATAGTAGCCCATTCTCGATGCGACAACAAAAACGTGGATTCCACGTTCTTGCCCTGAAGCCACTATACAAACAACAAGTTTCCCTCTGATTCCACTCGCCGATAAAAAAGTCGAGAAGATCGTCACGACGAACGTGCACACGAAGCAAGTTGCACGCGAAACAAGCACAAAGCATGCCGTTCATTGTAGGTATGCGTAGCGTGATTCCCTCTCTCTGCATTCACTTGACAGACCACAGATAGATGCAGCATGTTTCTGCTTTCCTCTCGCCTCTCCTTGACTATGGTTTATTTCTGTGTACACCATGCAGCCCACAATCCAACACACGCTAGAACCAATCGGGCACTGAACAGAAGGGCGCAGAACCTCGGAACAACTCCTGTCTGAACCTTGACATGACGTCAAAGCACAACGACTGACAAACGCCAAATAATCATGGTAGCACACCATCACACGGCTCCCTCCGTACATCACAACAGTAGCCCACTGTTGAGGAGGACCCGATTCGCAGGGTATCCGTCGATTGACTTTTACCAGAATCGGTACACCTTCGCATATGGCGTCAGCAGGATACTGGTTCGAATCTCCTCTAGTGCACATTTGTACATTGACTTGGACATTTTCCCCATGGACACGTTGTGTGTCAGTCATCCTGAGAGCACCTCTTTGGAGTTGATCCTACAATGAACCTTGTGACGCTTCCATCGAATCACCCGTCCTGGCCACAAGAGGTTCCCAGATGGGGGTAAATTCTATGGGTGGAGAGTGTTAAGGAGGACCCGATTCGCAGGGTAACCGTCGATTGACCTCTACCAGAATCGGTACACCTTCGCACCACCCTGA